TAGCAGACAATAACGCAAATTCAAACTTGAAGGTCGGGCAGTACCAATAGTCGTATGAAAACGGTCTAGTTACCCTGTGCACTATGAACATGGCGTCTGGTGTTTTTTATTTAGGGAATTGCCGAGTCTAAATACCGAGCATGGCAAAGACGAGGCATTGACTTCCAAGACGAGGAAACGGCCTGCGTCTACATCTACCGCGTTTACTTGCCACTTTCTACGACATGGTAATCTTGCTGACCAGCAAGCTCTGCGGTCGTTTCTGGCGCACGGCACACGGGCATCAAAGTTTCAGGGACAACCCTAAAAGACATGGCAACATGTATGTACTTGCAACGCAACCGTCACAATATTCTCATAAGCCACAACTCATATTATATTACCAATAGCGTAGTCATTCCAACTCTAGCCCAGTTCTTCAAACTTCTTCATCACGCACTAACCCATATCCCTACAAACCAAGTCAGCATGTTATAGTCTCGCAAAAAACACACCCCTACGAAAAGACTTACAGCAAAGCGAGGGTCACGTCGCCGTGAATCTTGGCACGCAGCTCAATCTCCACGTCCAGGTTCAAATCAAGACGCAGTTTCAGCGGGTTCTTCTTCTCGTCTTTCGGCGCAGCCATCATTTGCTGCTGCGGCATGGGCGGCGGCATCTGCTGCTGTTGCTGCTGCTGCTGCCGCTGCTGCCGTGCAACCATCTGGTTTTGCCGGTCCTCGTCCTCCCAGGGGTCATTGAGGGGACGCTTGCGCTTCCTCGTCGCCGTCTTGGTAGGCCGCGCCGGCTGTACGGCCTGCTCCTCTTCCTGCTCCTCCTCCGCGGTGCTCTCGTTGCTGATGTGCGGGCCGGTGTCGTCTTCTTGATTTTCATTCTCGGACTCTATACGGGCCGTGTTAGTGGTGCCCCTGCGAGGGATGGTCTGCCCGTGGTGCAACTAACCGCTGCCTTGCTGATTATGCTCCTTTTCCTTCTCCATTGCTGGGTTCTACGGTAACGTCAGCACATGGCAGATGGTCGAGTGGGCTCTGGCAGCGAGACCTACATTTACAGCCATGATGGGTTTTGTTAGATGTTGCCGAGGAGGCTGGGTACAATGCTGGTAGTATGGAGTGTATGAAAAGTGATTGTTGGGTATGGGGTTTGAAAACAAGACACTGTGATGTCTAGTTGAGGGTTTCTCTCTTATGGTTCTTTTATCAACTTCATCGAAACAGGATTACTGGTTGGATGTGATGTGATGTCATGACACAAGGGTACTATATTTACGGATATTATAGCCGACAAGTATATCATACGGGCTGTGTAAACCTGTTTGAGCACACGACAAAAGTTGGTAGTTGGTCGAGTGGGACGGGGGGAAGCTGGTGGCTGAAGGAGATGACGCACCTTCGACAAGCACCCGATGACAACATCTCCGGCTTGACGGTTGGAGATGGCTTAGCCCCAGATCGATCGACGACATGAAGGGACAGGGGAGGGGGGCGTGAGAGGCGAAACGGTGGCGGAGAGACGGCGCATGGCAGCGCGGAACAGCATCATGGAACAAGGGGATTGTCTGGAAGCAGGAATAAAACCTCCCAAGGAGACGTCATGGCTCCCCCCACAGGCTCTCAATATTGCAAGCCAAGTTACTGCTGGTTTGGATACGGAATACACCCCCCCATTTACACAACACCATCATGGTCATTGGGCTTCTTACCATCACTGCCATACCGACCATCACGGGCGTCGGCGAGGCTGTGAGTGCGCAGAAGCGACAAAATGCTGCTTCCAAAGAGCAAGAAAAGATTCATCTAGCAGCGTCGTTTGTTGGAGAGAGCCCCTTGAGCGATGCCATGCCCACCTGTTTCCTGAAAGACGGCAAGGTGAGTGCCACGGCCGGCGTATCGGAACCCGTTTGGAAAAATTTGGCTGCTTTTAGGGATTTTTTTCTGTTTTCTGGCTAAGATTGAACACAGCTCGTGCTCGAGTTTCCGGGGGAGAATGTCGACGGACACAAGTTTTGCGGCTTTCACTTCAAGTATCCCGGCGAGGAGCAGCACCTGGGGCTGGTGAGCAGCATCCAGGATGAGCCGCCCGTGCTCAACTGGATCTACGTCAACCGGGACACGCACGCGTTGGAGTATGGCTCCCGAAAGGACACTCTGGGCCACATTGTAGGCCCATGGGGCTGGAGCGAAGACGAGCGGTTTCTCACCTTGGACGGGAACACGGGGGGATTCATGGCAAGGAGACGGGAGCATCATGGTGTGGAGAGGTGGATATTGTACTGGGATCCCGAGGCAGACGGCGACAGCGAGCAGCAAGGACTCGCGGGATCCGTCATGCTTCATCGAAAGCCGGTACTGGGACTGGAAAGTACCTACATACGAGATGGGGAGGAGTGATTACGACTTTGGAGGCGAAGGGCCGCGTATGAAGTACAAAAGGAAGACGGGGCCGCGAATCAAGGCTTGAAGAGTATCATAACTCACTGTATAAGTAATTTTGTAACATGATTCCGTTGTATCTGTACTCCGTACAAGTAGAATTGAATATCAACCACACCCGAGTAGAGCGGAGGCGGAAAGCATTTCAACACATCAGGTGTATCAGGCGTGCCATCGCATAGTAGCGTAGACTGGTTCATGGACAAATAGGAAATAGTCTGCCAACTCCGCACTATACGAGATATCAAAACGTAACCTTGACGCAAGTGTCGGCTTGACGGCGCTGATCTCCAAGGAAGCGGGCGGGTCGAACATGTTTGGCGCCCAGTCAAGTCGGGTTGAATATGCAGCCCATGCTGAATTTGGCTACTTGAGGCATACGAGGATAGAATCGTGGACATGGATATTTGTTGGTCCAACTAACGATCTGAAGCGGGCCAAAAGCTCCGGGTTGGTCTCTCTTTCCGGCTTTGCGCATGATGACGATTCGACCATGGATTTCCTCAATGGCGGCCGCCACGAGTCCACAATTTGCCGCTTTTCACACTGTGGGTGGTATGGAGCCAAAACATTCGTCCGAGGCATCGGAGTGGATTTAATCCTTGCCTCGTTTACGCCCCAGGCGGCACGATTTGCCTACTTCCGTCCGTCATTAACCTATTCACTGTGACCAAGGACCGCTGCTAGATGCGAGACAAGCCTCCTGGAGCCTCTAGCGGCCGATATCATGGAAAACAATCCATCCAAAGACCTAGCTGTCGCCCTGGCCTCGAGCTGGAGAATTCCCCTCCCAGAGCTCTCTCTTGGACATAACCACTTGCATCATCCGAAAGCAGCATCAAGTTGGTACGACGAATAGAAATGGCTGATAGTGGCCCTACCTACTCCCCTCTGCCTACCCCGAGCATGCTTTACCAGGGCTCCGAGGAGAAAATGTCAGGCACATCAACGCCGCAGACGGATTCAACCGAATTGTTGCCCGATACAAGGCAGGACAGCCACCCTTCTTACCCCTTGAGACTACCCCAGAGCCCCCCAGGTGCACAGAACAATCCCATACAGATTCCCAAAATCACGGCAGACATCTCCTTTGCCCACGACCCGGCTGTCCTGGCGCGCGGGCTCGAGGGCAAGTGCGTGGATGAATTCGGCAACGTCCTCGACTGGGACGGCACCGTCCTAGGCCGCGTGGAAGGCGACCTGCCATCCATGGTTGGGAGATCTGTATCCAGCGACGGCAGAGTTTGCGATGGCAGCGGCGACGTGGCAGGACATGTGTCCGAAAACCACATGGACTCGTCTACGGCGGCACCGGACCACAGCAACAAGAGACTGAAGATGGACCACTCCGGCAACATCTACGACCATCATGGCGCTGTTGTGGGCAGGATGAAGGACCACTCCAAGGAGAATAAGACGGCTGCCGCGGACGGTTGTGCGAGATGCAGAGAGCGAGAGCGAGAGCAAGAGAGAGGCCCAGGCCCAAGCAATGATGCCGGCGGCCAGCAGCAGTCGCAGGAAGGGGCAGCAGATGGAGCGGCTGACGATGTGCCTCACCGGACGGCGACTCCAAGCCCTTCGGATATCTACTTGGATGTCAAGTCTACGCACGATGGCATCCAGTTGATTATCAAGATCCCTACAGTTTTCAATCGCCATCGCGAGAGGGAATGATGGCATGAATATAATTCCTCATTCATAATTTCCCGTCTGAAGTTGCCATAGGACGTACGGAGTAGACAAACATAAATTGTAAATGCCATCTCATGGCCGCATCATCAACAGACGGATGGACTGGGCCACACGTCAGCCTCTCAACCACTTTGCCACAGTTCGACTTGAGGTGTGGTGAAAGAGATCGACCTGTGTTACCTCAGAGGCGTCGCTAGTTCGGATGACATGCAGCACCGTCAACGCCAACCGACGCGGCTAGCAAGCATGTCGCATGTCGTGCTGTCGAGCAGCTCGATGTCGGTTGCTGCGTCCACACCGGGTTCGGTCCAAGAATCAATCTATTATCTGGCTACGTCCACCCTCGACTGAAAGCAACGTCGAAACTAGATTCCAACGGCCCGCTGTTTCCCGCCTCCATGACACAACTTGACAACCTCCACGTGCAATGGTTGCATCGGCTAGACTCTGTGGCCATTGTCTTTGAACAGACCGAGTGTCAAAAACAAGGCACTGGCAATGCCTCAGTTCCAATGTTGGCCACACTTCGCACGCACCAGCCACGATGTTCCTGATCTGGTCCCCATCGGAATTGCGTCACCATGTGCAAACATCTATTTCCATCCGGGGTGATCGCCCAAAAGTGACGTGTGCGTGGCGGAGTGTGACTTTCATGCGCTTCACATATGACCTCAACACAGCACGAGAGCCCATCAAGAGGTTTCTTACACACCGCTGATGTAGACAGGCAGAAGGGAAGAAAAACTTGTTTGCCAAAATGGCTTTTTACCACGTATAAAGTCGCCCCATAGCTGGAGAACATGGCTGGATCGGCACAGCATGTCCAAGACATTGCCATAGTTTACTTTGGTAACAAGCTTTTTCCCGACTTGCATTATGCCAGTCACCAAACCACTCTCGTCCCTCCACCCAGTCGGATCTGGGACCGAGGGAGACAAGCAGCAAAAACAAGGTGCGTCGTGCATGCCGCCCACAAACCACCAACACATGCAAGTGGTAGTAGATGCGAGCTGCTCTTTGATACCCTCAGTGTTGATTATTACCTTGGATCTAACCGCATTGGGTGCTGCAGGCACCGAGGCCCTTGAGTCGGTCCCTCGAACCGTGGCCGGCGTGGTCAACGACAAGGGGGAAATCATCGACAAGGCGGGCAAGGTCATAGGAACCGTCCTGGACGTCAAGGACCACGAGAAGCTGGTCGGGGATGCAGTGACGGACAAGGGAGACGTCGTCTCAGACCTGGGCGAGAGCCTGGCCAACGTCCACATTGACGAAAACTACACGCCGACACAGGTCCCGGCACAGGTTCCCGAGAAGAAGGACGCCGCCGCCGGCTGGAATGTTCTGGGCAAAGCCAGAACGGCCATGCAGTACGGCGACAGCATCCGAAACGCCGTGTCGTATGGCCAAAACTTGCAGAGCGCCTACAACAGGTTCTCCCAGGGCCAAAAGCCCGAGGCGGACCAGATGGGCGAGGGCGTCTCAGCGGCCAGAGAACCTGCTGGCGGCGAAGACCAGATACCCAACCCCGTGAAAATGGAGGACAAAGACAAGCCTGTCCAGGAAGATGTCGGCGCTGAGACGCAAGGGTTGAAACCCCAAGACCAGAAGGGAGGAGAGGCAGCGACGTCTGCTGCCGAGGACAAGCGTGCTGCCAAGCCTGCTCTGGATGAGGCTGGAGAGGATGCCGGAGAACAGATCGGCTCCTTGGCCGCCCAGAGCCCGAGACCTATTCCTGAGGAAGGCGCCGGGGATGTTCCCGAGTCTTCAAAGGAAACAGTTGAAACTGCTTCGGAAGGACAGAAGCCCCTCGAGGAAGTCAAAGGTGTTGCGGGCGATGACAAGCTTGGTCAGGGCAAGGCAGCTGAGCTTGAGCGTGGAGAGGGTCAGCTTGGCGGGGACAACTTGGGCCAAGACAAGTTGGAAGCAACTAAGCCTGGTGAAGACGTTCTCAGTGAGGCCAAGGATGAGGTCGCCAGCAGGGGTGAAAGTCAACTGGGCAAAGATACACTGGGTGAAGAGAAGGTGAACGAAACCATGCCTGGCCAAGACACCCTCGGCGAGGGGAAGGATGAAATTGCCGGCAGGGGTGAAGGTCGACTCGGTGAAGACACACTGGGCGAAACTAAGCCTGGTGAAGACACCCTCAGTGAGGCAAAGGATCAAGGTCAACTCGGCAAACATACACTGGGCGAAGCTAAGCCTGGCGAGGGTACCGTCGCTGAGGATAAAGTTCAACCCGGCGAGGATAAATTGGGTGAATATGCTGTTGGTGAGGCCCAGGATGAAGCCACAAGCAAGACTGAAGAGGGGCAACTGGGCGAGGACAAGTTAGCCGAAACCGAGCCTGATAAAATGGCCCTCGATGAAGACAAAGTCCAACCAAGCGAGTCTAAGCTGGGTGAAGAGACACTTGGTGAAGCCCAGGGTGAAGTCGCAAGCAAGACTGAAGAGGACCAACTGGGCGAGGGCAAGTTGGACGAAATCGAGCTTAAGAAAAGGGGCCTCGATGAAGCCACAGGCCAACCAAGTGAGGGTGCATTAGGCGAAGAAACATTCGGTGAAGAAGCCGCTGGCAAGACTGAAGAGGGTCAACCGGGCTACGACGAGTTAGCCAAAACCGAACCTGATAAAATGGCCCTCAATGAAGCCACGGGTCAACCAAGTGAGGGGGCATTAGGCGAAGAAACCGTCGGTGAAGAAGCCACTGGCAAGCCTGAAGAGGGCCAACTGGGCGAGGATCAGTTAGCCGAAACCGAGCTTGATAAAATGACCCTCGACGAGGGCAAGGCTGAAGAGGGTCAACTAGGCGAAGGCAAGTTAGACGAAACCGAGCCTAGCACCCTCGACGAGGCCAAGGATGAGGCCACGGACAAGGTTGGAGAAGGCGCAGAGGAAGCCGGCGAGGCAGCTGAAAAACCATTGGACTTCACTGTACTCAAAGGCACCAAGGTCAACAAAGCCGGCAACTTGGTCAATGACAAGGGGGACATTATCGGAAGGCTCGTTGACGGCGACCCCAAACAGTTGATGGGCAGAACTGCCGATGAAGAAGGACAAATCTGGAACGAGTCCGGCAAGATCATCGGCAAGGCGGAGCCCATCTCCGACGCCGACCGCGATGAAGCAGCCAAGGAATTTGCGCCGTTCGAGAACTTCCCAGATGCCGTCGTTGAAGGCGACGGACGTGTCATGTCCGAGGGCCGGCAGGTTGGCGAAGTGATTGAAGGCGACGCCAAGCGCATGAAGGGCAGCCGCGTCGACGAGGACGGCGACATTCTCGACCGTCGCGGCAACGTCATCGGCAAGGCCAAGCCCTGGGACGAGCCAGAGGAAATCCCCCCCGAGGTCATCGACATGTCGTCCCTGGCCGGAAAGAGAGTCAACAAAGCCGGCAACGTCGTCGACGCTCACGGTCAAATCTTTGGCCGCGTCGTCGAGGGCAACGTCAAGGCTCTCGTCGGCCGCATGTGCGACAAAGAGGGCAACATCATGAGCGAGTCAGGCGAGAAGATAGGACGCGCCGAACTGGTCCCCGAGTCGGAGCGCGAGGGATCTCGCGAGGGACCCTTTGCAGAACTGTCAGGCTGCACCGTCACCAGGGACGGAAAGGTGGTCACGCCGTCGGGTGACGTGGTGGGCAGGCTCATCAGCGGCGACGGCAAGGTCTTGTACGGCCGGGCCGTGGACGAGGACGGCGATGTCGTCGACAAGAACGGCAACGTCCTGGGCACGGCGGAGCGGTGGGAGGAGCCCGTGGTCGAGAAGAAGAAGGATCCCCTTGCCGGGCGCAGAGTCAACCGCGAGGGCAACGTCGTCGACGAGGACGGCAACATCATTGGCAAGCTGGTCAGCGGCGACCTGAACATTTGCTCCGGAAAGGAGATTGACGACGACGGGGACGTGGTCAATTCCAAGGGCATGACCATTGGCCACGTCAGTCTCCTCGAGGACATTCCGCCCGAACCAGAGGAGTCTGCTGAAGACAAGGAGAAGCGAGAGCAGGCCGAAAAGGACAGGAAGCTTGCCGGCCAGCTCGCCGCCTCCATCGAGCAGTCTCTCGACAAGATCAAGCCCATCCTCAGGATGATCACCGACAAGGTCGACAGGGCGGAGCGGACGCCAAAGGAGGAGCTGGACGAGGAACAGCTCGTCAGAGAGGTGAAGCCTCTCATTGAAGAAGGGAGCAAAATCCTCACCGAGACCAACGGTGTCGTCCGGGGCATGGACCCCGACGGCCGCATCCAGAGGCAGGCGAAACACAAGGCTTCGACAAAGGATGCGACCCCCGAGGAGCATCATCTTGCCGAAGTTATCAAAGAAGTGAGTCCCCTATTGTCACAAAGTACATGTAGTCGGGCGAATGTGATTTTAATACGTGTTTTTAGCTCACGGGCGACATCACCCAAACCATTGACAATGCGAAGCGCAAGATTGAAGGTATGCCTCACGCCAAGAAGGAGTTGAATCCTCTTTGGGGCCTCCTCTCCGAGCCGCTGTTCCAGATTATCGCAGCAGTTGGTCTTCTCCTCAACGGCGTTCTTAGCCTTGTTGGCCGTCTGGTAAGTCTCTTTGTTGCTTTCCCACTTGGTCGTGTACGGGCTAACTCTGTATTAGTTGAGCGGTTTGGGTCTCGGTGGCTTGGTGGACAATTTGCTTGGCACACTTGGTCTTAACAGGGTGCTTGAGGGCCTTGGGTTGGGTAGTGTTACGAGTGCCTTGACCGGGAAGAAGGACAAGGATAAGAAGAAAACAACTCTCTTTTAGTGTGTAGTTTTAGTTTTGTATGTAATGATGGTTGACGAATACGATGAATCCATGCGTTTCGACAACTCTTATCATGGAGCGAAGAGACATGCCATGACTTGCCTGTCGAATTCCTGTCCCTGTGGCAGGATTATGTTCTGTTGTTTCGTGTATGGCAGGCACATCTGTTTCTGGGCTTCATTCACGTCACAGCACTTGCGTTTTCTACACATACAATCCGCTACGCGTGCGACAAGGACGCGTATAGATTGGGAGCGCTGGCCAAAGCGAGCATGTAACTAACTTGAGTGAAGTCACCGGCGATATTTCCCGCGTATTGTTGGTTGAATATTCCTTTGGCCTAGTGGCTCAGAGTAAGCTACGTATATAGTTGCCGACTACTTTCTATAATAGAGAATGCCACCTTTGGCAAAGTTACATTCCCGCAGTGATTTGAAATGGTCCGGCGTCGTATACGACAAGTAAACGTCTGCATGAATTCTGACAAGTGGCCAAGTCGAGGGCCACGTCAAAGGGACTGTAACTCGTACGGGGCGATGGCCGTTGAAGTTTACGACTGGAGGAAAACCCCGTACGCAGTGCTCTGCTAGTTCAAATGGAATTGATGAGCAGAGTTTATTTGAGTGGCCTCAGGAGACCCCTCAACTGGCGGGGTTGTTGTTGTCGTTGCGTGGCGGGATGGTTACGACTTGTCTTTCCTTAGCTTAAGGAGACCCGAAATCCTCAGATACATGTGGTGACTCGTGCTGCTCAGTTTCCGAGGCGAGCGTGATACCAAGGTCCCCGATCTGGTTTTCGCCCTTCACTGTAGTCAGTCATATCACTTGATAAACCAGGCGTAGCCGCCAACAGGTGAATCACCTTTCCCATGACTGTTGAAGCTCTGGCAACAAAAAGGCAAGTCTTAACAGCATTAGCTCCCATTTGCATAGCAACCACAAGGTAGTTAGGTAGTCGACTGTTTCACAACCCATGCTGAAAATATGCATCTTGCACCAATTTTACTGTTTGCAACGAGATCAACTCTATATCATTAGCTACGATACAAGCCCTAACCCTGCCTCCTCTTTGCCGTATCCGCCCCCAAGTAGTCAATCGGATTTCTGCACAATGGGCAAGTATTCTGACTACTCGTCTGGAACCACTTGTACAGGCACGTCCTGTGGAACAGGTTCTTGCACGTACTGCACTTCTTATCGGGCATACGCTTATCCGTGGAGATGATGCTGTAGCAGATTGCGCATTCACTCTGGCCCTTGAGCGCGCCGATGATGTTGCGCTTGAACACCTGGAGGCCATCTATGATGCTGCCGTTGGAAAACGTAATGACGCCCTGCGTGGTCATGATCCAGCTTTGCCACTTGCGCTCGTTGACTGCCACGCGGGTAAGGCTTGAGACGGTCACGCTCTCGATGGGGTAACTGGGCGGGATTTTGATGACAATGGCTGCCTGCGACTCGTCCACCTCGTATCCCGCCGTGACTTCCTTGGCCGGCCTCGACACCTTGACTAGGAGCTCCTGCTCGTCAATGCCCGGTGGTTCTTGCTGGTCCGCCCAAAGTTGCACTCCGTCCAGGGTCTCGCCGATGATGATTGGGGACAAGTACTTCGTTGTCCACGACTCTACAGCGATTCGGGTCTGTTTCGAGCGACAGTTGATGTACCACATTCTGAACAGACCGGGAATGTACTTGAGAGTGAGGTAGTACAGATGGATGAGTAGCCAGTGTAGGCTCTGTTCCCCGCTCTCTGCCTCTGCTAATTTAATGTCGTAGTCGCAAATCTGCGTAGAGCCAATATTTTCTTTGTCGAGGTTAAGTGGATGAGCAGCTGAGTGGCCCAGAACATCAAACGTAAAGTCCAGCAGGGGGCTAATCAAGTCCTCCGCCTTCAAATGTTCAGTAAAGTCATTTCGAACCTTGAACGACGATGATGAGTACGCGTCAAACACCAGTTTCCACGATAGCAGGTAGCCACGTATTGAAGATGGGAACAGTGAGAGCGATTCGTCTGAAAACTTCTCCAAGGTTGGTGGATCGAGGAAAAGGGAGAGGAGTTCATCGGGTAACCGGGCGTCTGTGACAGTGTTAGTTGCCGTCACTTTTCCCCTCTCTTTCCATATTCGTGCATGTTTCTGAAGGTGCGATACATACCAGTCTTATCTAGAAGCACTTCAACAGATTTTTGCTCTTGTTCAGCGGGAATCTTTCGGTGAAGGAGGTTGAACGAGGCTGTTTGAATATCTCTCGATTCGGAGGCAATCAAACTGAAAAGTTCTTCGGGTTCAGGTATTCTGCTGACGGGAATCTTTTCCGCTTCACGGCAAATAATTCCATTAACAATCTCAAGTGGCTGCGACTTGGCCCCCGGGCCTATCCTGAGCAGCCCAACCAAACCCGTAGACTTTGCAGGAGCAAACTCTCGCAGCGCATCTTCAAGGTCGTCATTTGGCTCCGTTATACTTTCCAGAGTCTTGACCAGTTTGAGGGAGGCGTGAAGGGCCGGGAGGACATCGTCAAGAGTAGCATTTGTGGCTCGGTTCCAAAGGCTTGTACAGAACTGCAGTGTTGTCTCCCAATAAGATCCGTAAACGTCCTTCATGCATGGCAAAAGAACGTTGAGAGCGCGGCAGATGGAAGCACTTAGACTCGCGCTAAGTTCAGTGGGATCGTCTAACCACGAAGCCACCTGTCTGACCGCAAACACGATGCGGTTATTAGCCACGGGAAGCTCTCCAGTTTCATAAATTTGACCGGTAATTGCCAGAAGCGCCAAGGTCAGCTCCGTCTTTTCATGGCCCAGCGTGTTTCCTGCGACTTCGCTCACTAGCCTGTTACAAAAGTTGCTTACTGCCTTTGAGGCCTGTGCCGCTTCCCCAAGACCACTGATTAGACCTGCGGCAAGCAGAGCACTGTCAGGCTTTGCTTTGAGATTGTCCAATTTTAAGAATTGCTCCTCCACTGAGCTCGGCATCCCATGAATTTCAGTGAGTGCTTGGACGAGGTCGCTCAACAGCCTCGCGCTGTAGACACCTCGAGAGGAAAACTCTCGAGATTCTTTCATTACGAGGTCCATAAGGCCTCGGACGATAGAGGACGGGTTGCTGTCGGAGCCAGCAGCTGATAGCCAATCATTTGCCTTGGAAACAATGCTGTGGATTAAATGCCGTGAAGATGAGATCATCTCCTCAGCTTCAGAAAGCGTGTCTGTTGAATCAAGTGACAGCCACAAGCTACTGCGGCTCATTGTCGTGATTTGGTCAGAAGCTATCTGGGTTGAGAGGCCTAGAAGATACAGAAGTTCAACTTGGAACTCTCGGGGAAGTTGAAGGTCCTCCAAGTCGTTCTTGATCAGTTCACAAGTGTACAGGGCCATCCTCGCGGGAACAGATCGGCCATCGCGGTCGCGAGGCAAACGCAGAGCCGCGTTTTCGGTACTCCTTGACTGGGGCAAACCAACCATCCCGCCAATACTGCTTGTTATCGACAAGGACGGGTTAATGGGCGCATCTAGTAATGGTGCCAAGTGACCCATCCAAATATTGGTGCTAGGTAATATGCTTTCCCAGGAAGTCGCATTACTTTCCACTGCAGTCTTTGCCTGTGACACTAGGGTGCGAATACTAGAGGAATTGTTAGCATTGCCCAAAGACAAGGACAATGGTTGGGACCAGTACTATACCCGAGAGATTGAGGTCCAGCTTTTTCGAGGCTGGACTGAATGATATCCACGACGGGCAATTTGCCTTGGGCTTGGCCGTCCAAGAGAGAACGAATTGCGGCGACTTTTGGAGATACATTAGAATCGTTGATTTCTGATAAGGAAAGGAGCTGAGAAACGAGATCGGTGTGAATCGGCTCTTCGGAAAACAGCTGTGCCTTGGACTTGGCAATTGTTTCAAGCATTCGAAGGATCGGCTCCAGCTGGGATGTCTGCTTTGACAACCGGTTCACCAGTTCCGATACCAGCTTTCGACCCGCATTATCACTAAGCGCTTGATGTACACAAGCCGCGTCAAGCAAATCAAACGCATCAGATTCCCCATTCAAGGCTTCCAAGGCCTGGTTGTACAACATATCTTGCAGAGCAATGTCTTCTGCGGCCAAGGAACAGGCCTGTTCCTGAGAGATCAAGCCTGCGAGGGCGGCATTCCGTGCGCTCTGGCTAATATTGAGCCTCAAAATCTCAGCCACCCACGTTCGCCAGATTTTCTCATACGTCTGTGTTTGGCCTTCTATTGAACCATATATACCAAGGGCAGACAACAAATATCTTGCTGAGGCGGTTTGGACCAACATGCCCAATCCATCCTCTGCCACGGCAAGGAAAAACGAGGTCAAGTTCCATCCATTGTCACCGGAAAATAGATGCTGTGATGTGCTCAGCGCGTACTCTATTATTTGTGCTGCACCAAAGGGTTTCATATTGCGGCTCTCTAGTAACGTAGCGCACTGCGTGATTACTCGGTTGGAAGGACCAGTAGTCTGGTCAGGCAGGGTTGGCCTAAAGCCTCTCAATTTGGCAAATATCTCACCAACAAGACCAAACCATCGCCGTCCTTGTTCTCCAATATTTGTTTGAGAAGCCTTGTAATCTTTGGACACTTCTGGTAGGGAGCCTGATATGTTGGTGCATAAGGTAGTGCCTAGCCGTTCCCATTCTTGAGCTGAGGCATCAACGAGATTAGGCGATGACTGAATCACTGCCAGGTGAAGTTCGACAAATATGGACATGGCATTTGGCCCAGTTGGTATTGCGTTGGTTTCAGAAGTCGACAATAGGAATTGTTCGAAAAGAGGGAACAGGTGCTCCTGCACAAAGGATAGTTTATCCTCGTCAGGCAGCTGTTCAATCGATCGCTTGGCAACGTCGGCGAAGCACTTCCATGAGTACGATGTGTTTGTTCGAGGCTCCTCCCGGTTTGCGATTCCTGCCTTCACGGACGCCAACAGTTTGGATGAAGTCTCGAGTCCAAGGGCATCCGCCGGAATAATGGCAATAAGTTGATCAAGAACTTCCCAGAAGTTTGGCGGGCTGCCTTGTGAACCTTTAGAAATGAAGGATTGCAGGCGTGTCATGGGTGGCTTTTTATCCGCTGGGCCAGACACCCAAAAAGAGGGATCTTTCTGCGTCAGTTTTGTCAAGGCTCTGACATATTCGAGCGCTGATCCTGCTTGGCTAGTTTTTAAGCCTCCGGTCACAAATGCCTGTTTCGCCTTGGTAGTCGCGCCGTAGGGAAGCTGACGATCCAGGCACGCAAACAACAACTGACAGACAGTCTTTCTAACTGCCGAGTCTTTGAAAGTAATGCTCTTCCAGACGGCTTCTTCGCTGAAGTACTCGTCGTATTTTCCCGCAAACTTTTGCACACCTGCATCGTCAACCTTTTGAAGCAAGCCCAAAACCAAGGACAAACTTGACGTCACAACCCTAAAGTATTTGGCCTCGGCATCCTCGACCGTCGTGGACCGCTCGTCGCTGAGGGTGTCTTGGGTTTCTCGAATAGCTTCGATGGCGAATTCTAAAATCTGCGACTGGCATTTAACCCAGAACGCCTTCATCTTCTCTGGTGTGGTAAGAAATGATGCAAGTCCGTCGCTAGCAGCCCTTGCCACAACTCGATCGCGGTCATAGAGTCCTGCAAGCCATGGGCCAACAATCTTTGGCACATGGCGTTCCATGCGCTTGCGGGCCGAGCGTAAAAGTTCTGACTGCAGGGCGTGGGATAGCTCCCGTACGCGCCTGGAGTTGTCTACAGAGGTGCGGGCATATATTTGTGTCTGCCACATGAGTGTTAGGATGGCGAATTCTTTCTCTCCGACAGAATTGGCCTCATTGGGCTTTCAAAGGATTCCGACATACCCATATGTCGAGCAGAGCTTCTTCAACCCCACCATCCTGCTCAAACGGATGCGATTGCGCATGTTGGACAAGATCCTCCAGGCCCTTGGCCTTGGTAATGCTATCCTTCTTGAGGACATTCTTCAGCGACACAATGACATTGGGGTCCGACACGGCGGCAAAGGATGGAGGTTCCGCAAGATATGACAGAGAAGTTCCAGACACAGGACCCCCGAAGCCAAAGCCACCCCCGCCAGTCGACGAGCCAAAGCCCCGCGGTCCGCGCTTCATGGCGAGCGAAATTCCCGGGCTAGAGACGGAGTTTTTGTGGCGACGCGAATGCGGATTGCGGAAACATGGAGACTGTCAGACACGGCAGTAGAGGTTGTAGGAGCTCGAGCTATATAGCTTGGAGCGGCATCGCTTTTTGTCATCGGCAAGTGGCTCGCAGTGGCTTAAGATTGAGATCGAGGTCCAGCCTGGCCTCCTTCCAGCTCAAGTGCTGGACTCAGTACTGGCTTCAGAAGGTGTGGCCCAGCAAATGATGTCACGGCGGGTGGATTCAGACGGCTGATCACTGTCATCACACATGCAGAACAGTCATACCGAAGGAAGCCAAAAAAAAAAAGGGAAAAAAATTATTGTGGGCCTCCAAGCGCAAATCGACCAGCAATCATCTCAAGGCTTCAGTGTTCCAAAGTCAATGGCTTACCATATTTTATAATTTTTCCAGAGGTAGTGGTGCAATAAATTATGCTTGGAAGAATAGGGATGCTACATGAACCAGGTCTCAATTTTGGTAACCACTGTCAGAGAATACGTAAATGCAGCATACCTTTTTCCACATTCCGTATCAGTCAGGATGGGAGAATGCTGACCGTCGCACAACTACCAAGACTGGCTCCCCTCCATTTTATTTTATTTGAATTAACGCCTTCTTTCTTCTTGGTGAGACCGGCAGCTACTGGTCCTTGGCAGCGTGTGCCGCATATCTTCTATCAAGGTGTCAATTGGCTAAAGCAAACCAGCTCTGCGGCGCAACTGCGCTTGTATGTGTAGAGGCTACACATCAAGACATTATCTTGTCGTAAAACACACATGCTTTAGAGCCTATTTAAGGGTCAGCTTACAAGAAGAAGAAGAAAAGAAAGAAAGAAAGGGCACACTGGCTCCATCAACGCAGAGAGCATTTGACATACCTCCTCGGCGGTATCTCTCCTGCCAGACTCAAAACACACCAACCTGCTCACAAGGTTTCTAAACTCCTCATCCACTTCAGGCAAAATATCAGCCCAATCACTTTGTGGAAATACGGTCCAAAGCTCAAACGGAGTGACCTTGAACCCCTTTGCTTCTGGCCAAGTCTCTGGCGTCGGGGTGCCCATGGTCTTGAAAATACTCAGTATCAGACCGAGCTGATTGCCGTCTTCGTGCGCGGGACGCGATTCAAACGGCGGTACCGGCGGCGACGAAATAACCTCTGCGACCATAACACCCAAGGCCCACATGTCGACCGATGTGCCGTAGCCCTTATTCCCGAACAATACTTCTGGGGCGCGATATGCTCCTGTGCCAATGTCGAGAACCTTGTCATTTTGCGGTTCGGTATAGCTAGATAATCGGGGGTGCCAGGCAGTCCCAAAATCAGATATGTACGATGGTCCAGAGGGGGACTGTAACAGTACGGCCGAAGGCTTGATATCGCGATGAATAATGGCGTGTTTGTGCATGAATGTCAGCCCAGTGAGAACATCTCTGAATATGGATCTCGCGTCACTGAGTGATATCGATTTAGAAGAGATGAGATTATCCAACGTCATGGGCAGGTATGGGAAGACAAGAACAAAGCGTTGTTCTTGGTCCCGGAACGTCTCTGTCAGGGTGATGATCTTTTCAGGCACTGGGGTTAGAGAATGCAGTTCTTGAAGAATCGACGCTTCTCTTTGGGGGTTATGCGGTTCAATATTGTGCTGGATGATTACTTTTAGGACACGGTTGTTTGAGCGGTAGACTTCAGACGTGACTCCGTCTGCGATGAGGGTGCAGTTATTATATTTGCCAATACGGATGCCTGTATCTGAGGGTGATGGGGAATTGTCCTTTGGCTTGCGAGAACCCGCCTTAACCATTGCGTCATATTCATCCTGATATCGTCAGCCACGATTATGTGAGATTAAAGCATGGTTGAAACAGTACCCTTGTAGATGAGTGCTGATAGGCATCTTGCTCGATGGATATGGCGTCGCTGCGTTTATCGGGCGATAAGGTCTCTTGGCTAAACCAAGGGGAGGAAGTGAGCGGCTGGGTTAATTGAAGATACTGGCTGAACTTACAGGCTTTGTATTACTTTGTATCTGTCAAGAGCGGAAAGTGAAGATTTCCAGTCCGACATGGTGGATTGTAGGGCCAGTGATATGCATGTTGGAGGATAACTCGTCACTTGGATTTCGGGGAATAGAAGTGTGGGGCTTGACGTCAAAATACCACCTCGTGAGCACGAGGCATGCAATTCTGCATGAGGCGACTAGGGCTGCCGCTCGAGTATAATTTTGTTTGGCGGGGGTTTAAAAAAACAAAAGCGAAAGCAAAGACAAAAATATGCTACTACATAATTCATAGCAACTATGTACGTCAAGACGTGGAACGATATAAGCTCGCAAATCAAGGACGTTGTACTGCAAGAGAGCTATAGGGTACTTTGGGTCTTGGGTAACAGAGAATGAAGCTCCGTCAAGCTCCAAGCTCACCTTCAACTAGAGCTTTCTTGGGTACCCGGCCCCCCTAGAATCAAATGGCAACGTGCAGAATAACGTCGTTTACCAACCGGAATCGACCCCTTCAGCTACTGCACGGAGCATAGTTACTCAACCGTTTGCTGTCTATTCCGTGGCGAGGACGACGGCGCAGGTCTCAGTTTTTTCAACAATTTGATGCAGCTGACGGAAAGTGGGGCGGCGGGTAGACCAAGGGCCAGCCAACGGGTTGCAGCACTGAGGAGGAGCACCAGAGACAACAAGGACCATTGACGAAACTTTGTGGCAGCCGGGAGCACAAAATCTGGGGTGCAAGGGGAAAGGAAGAGGAAGGAAGCCAGAGATGATCAAATGCCTTGGAAGCACCCGGTCCATCAAGATCAAGTCCGTCGGAGCTCCCTGGCGCTCGCACAGCCCAAAGCTACTCCAGAAGCCTGACTGGACTTGCAGCCTGATTGACGGCATAAATGTGGTTTGATTGATTGATGAATGACATGGACCGGCCTTGGCCCCTGTCGTCATGCATCGAGTCAAGTAGCCTCCCGGTCGAGGTACGGAGTAACTCCGTACCTGCTCGAGCAATCAAGCCTCGTCCAAGAGCTCCAGCCGCGTCGACCGACTTCCTGTTTGGCCAGACATTCCCCAGTCTCCGTTCTCCATTCCATCTGCTCCATGGCCTCGTCCATGTCCATGTCACCACCAACTTCATCTCCTCATCGCCTCGTCACTTGGTAATTGCTGACGGGCCACTCCCTCCTCCTCCAGGTGTCGCCATGCACCAGCTTTTCTAGTCGCTGCAGTCTTATTGAGCATCTGTATTTTATCGCTGCCCCCAATTGTTTCATCAACACCGATTAAGCCGCCGCCCACCATGGAGGACATGGCGAGGTCCGACTATCCCGCCATGCTGGTAAGTGCAGCTCTACCCACGGGACGACGGCTTGCCTTGCCCAGCCTGCCACCCTGCCGACTTTCCACTCTGGCCACTGGGCAATTGAATCTCTCTTGAGATGCTGACTGTTGTGATGTTTTTCTCGGTTCCAATAGGCCCATTTGCAGCCTGGTCAGGCGGTTCAGACCCTCAACGATCGGGTGAAGCGCATCAACAAGGTCAATCTCGAAATTGCCGACTGGCTTCAGGTATGCATCCATACCCAACGCCCAAATCCAACGGCTTAGTTCGACTAGCCTGGGGTTTGCAGTCCCCGATATGCGCCATTGACGATGCCTCGCCTGGCTAACGTTTCGCTCCCGCTACCTACCAACTAGGAACGTCGTCGCATTGAAGAGCAATATGTCCTAGGTCTGCGAAGGCTCGCACAGAGCAGAACCCCGAATTCACAGTCCGAACTCGGGTACGTCATCACCTTTGCTTGTTGGCCACAACATCCGACCCTGTCCTATCACTAAGCCGTATTGCGACACCTCCCAAAGCTTGCTTCACCACTAACCTCGCTCTTTTCAGTGTCTTCCAAGTTCCCTGGACTCGAATTGTTGACGCCATCGAGCGCATTGCCCAGTCACACCACGTCTTCGCCGAAAGGCTCGAGAGCGATGTCGAGCATCCCTTGCGCTTGTATCAGCAGCGGCGAGACTACCAAAACATGCATAACATATCCAGCAACTTGACGGCAATGGCGAGAGACCTCGAAGGTGCCCAAGACAAGTCGGATAAACTAAACAGGAAGGGCGCCAAGGCCAGCAGCCAAAAGGTTGATGAGGCTTCGGCCAAGCTAGAATCGGCTGCGCAGCAATGGGAATCCCAAGCACCCTTTATATTTGAGTCCCTGCAAGCCGTCGACGAAACCCGCGTCAACCATCTACGAGATGTGCTGACCCAGTACCAAACCCATGAGACAGACCAAGCTCAGCGAGTTCAAGAAATTGCCGCCCAGACACTTGCTGTTGTGTTGGAGATTAATACGGAGAAGGAAATCAAAGATTTTGTGGCGGGTACAGTTGCCGGCAAGCCCCTTGCTGCAACGAGGACATCTACCCGTCGTGCCTCAATTGCTGGACGACAGCCTTCCCTAGAACAGCCTCCTCCCATGCCACATTCGGACACGATGAACTCCACGGCATCGGCGACTATTCCTCCTCCAACTAGGGGGTCTGTTTCACAGCAATCGCATCACGATGACGACGCCAATGAGCAGCTCCCCACAGACCAGCCCAAAGGTACTTTACATCTAGTATACCCCCTGCTTCCCCTTCCATGTACTGACCTGTTGAAGAATCCAAGCTTCGTAGACTGGGTACCCTGTTCGGTGGTCGACGACGACAGAGTGTTCACGGTGGTTTTGGGAGCCTTTCACCTGGCAAAGGTGGCGGCATTACATTTGGTCGCCTTGGGAGCAGTCATGGACGGGGTGTTTCTCCTCGCACATCATCGACCAACCTACACGAGTCGGGCCGTCTAGCCTCTCTAGCCGAAAGTCCTGATACCCCTACAGCATCCACCCATGAAGAATCCATTAACGATCGAAACCGACCCCATGAAGCTACCAACGGCGTACACACAAAAGATGGAACAGAAGCTTCAGGCGTGAATGGGGCACGGTCAACTGACGTTTTTGATGTACCTCCACCCCCAGGACCACCTCCGACTCAGCAGACTGAGAAGACTGGCGGCCTGACTAAAGATGAAGAGGGCTTCACTGTCCGCGCGCCGATGAACGATCCGATTTCTGAAGCTCAGAGAGAAGCAGCAGGCGAAGAGGCCGATCAGCTGTTCAAGTTGAATATTCAGAATAAACCCGTCGAGGAAGAAGATCCTGAGGCCAAACAGGCGGCACTGTCAAGCGTTGCCAATACCCTGAAATTGGGACCAGCGACTCGTCGGACTAGCACCATACGAGGAAGACGAGATGTTAGAAACACTGTATTCGTACCACCTCCTGGAGGAACTCAAACCGAGCCTTTTCTATCCACTATTTCCGCTTCTCCCCCAATGCCAAGCAGTGCATCGTTTATGCGATCTCCTGCCATGAATGCTCTGGCTTCAGAAACCAGCACTGCTGGTACTTCAGACAGTCAATCCGTTCGTTCTGGGCATTCCTTGGGCAGTTTGGCCCATGCCAAGCATCCAGAGCTTACTGGACCTGGTTTGCAAAGCTCTATAATTGAGACGGTCTCTGCTACTTTCGAGGATGGCGTTGTAAAGAGTGCCAATATCGCTGGTGAGCTGGCTTTTGTCAATAATGATGCTGATATTTCCTCTGAAAAGAGTGCGTTGCGTTGCGTCCCTGCCATTATCGCCCATACATACACTAACAATGCATAGCCCACGAAACTATTCGAATAAATAATTTCCCTAAACTAGAACGTATTGGACCAAACCGCATCTTTGTCCAAAACGCCTCACCGGATCAGCCAGACCAATATGCCCTCGATCTTTCGCATCTTGCAAAGACATCTATTGCATTCTCATACAAGGTCTTTTCTGACGACTCTGACCCATCAGGCCTAGGAAAGCATTGTCCTTTGCTACTGAAGCCAGTATGGAAGCCTCAGGAGGACAAGTTGGGTTTATTGCTGCAGTATCAACTCAATCCAATGAGCACCTTAACCGCACCAATCACGTTGCACAATGCCGTCTTTGTAGCCAGATACGAGGGCAAAGCCATTTCTGCTCAAACCAAGCCCAGCGGAACACACCTCAAGGATAAGCACCTAGTGTACTGGAGACTGGGCGACGTTACTCTGACCAGTGACATGCAAAAGATTGTCTGTCGGATCGTGGGAGCAGAGGGCATCTGCCCATCACCTGGGCATGTAGAAGCCCGGTGGGAATACACGGCATCGGGAGATGCCCTGGTTGGTAGTGGCATATCAGTGTCACGACTTGCAGACAAGGGCAAGGGCAAAGAACTCACCGACGATGATCCGTTTGCTGACGCGGGATCGGCAACCAGCCAGACATGGCTGGATATTCCTGTGATTCGGAAACTCGTCAGTGGAAAGTACGAGGGTAAGTGAACAGAGTGGAGGATGGGCGAAAGCGTGAGATCTGTATATGGAGAATGAGTCCAGGTGAGGGTGTGTAATTTGAAAAGTGTAGCGGTGCTTCATCATGGCGGAACAGCTTTCTTTTTCTTTTTTTTTGATATCAATCCAGCTTATTTGTCGTCATTCTGCTACACGCCCCGTTTTCTTTGTCTCGTATATTGGGGAGGCCACGACGTGGTGAAGTGGAACATGAGCATACTTGCAAGCCTTGTGTACCATGTTACGTGCTGGTGGCTGACGACTAGGCTGCAACGCTACGTGCACTTCGTTGCCAGAAATACTGCACAAGGGTCTTTTGTTTTATAGAATCGGGATACAGGGAGTTTGCGGACCATTCCTTGGGTGATGTTGTATTAGGAAAAGTAAGCGTGTGCATTACAGTTACGAAATAGTCAAACATGACAATTTTACTAGTTTTGTCCACGAAGCTTTGATGTGAGAGTCAGGCCATGCGTGCACGGCCTTGTGGTGCCGGCTGACTATTTTCATATTGTATAATGCTCGTCTCGTATGTTATCCTTTGCCCACGTCCATTTCACAAAATGAAACGCAGCTCATCTATTGATGCCAACTCCGCAAGAATCGCAAATGTACCGCCCAATCTATACAACCAATGCCAAGGCCTATGCTCGCCGCAGGCCATCCGTAATGTACATGAACCCCACGCCACAAAGGAAAATGTAATGCCGATACGATGCTGTTATTCTGTTTTTTGCTCCCCATCCTTTCCATCTTTTTCTTTAATGCTGTCACTTCCTTGCTTCCCAGACCCCTTCCCCTGGGCCTTTCCCTCCCTCCACTTGGAAAATTTCTCTCCCAGATAACGCCATGTCCTGGCCCATCCGCCCATTATGGAACCCTTGATGGACTGTGTAGTGCTGGGCCAGTTGACAGTTTGCTTAATCACTTGGCTAACGATTTTGCGGAGCTCCTGAGGGTCATCGGAAACAATGCGCTTTTCGAACTCACCACCTCGTCGGCGTTTAATGGATGTGCTTTCGTCATCGGCGGTCGCCGCCATCATCTGATTGTACTCTTCACGAGGTATAGAGAACTTCTTCTGATACTGGAAATACAGCCTGGACCGGAAGTTCTTGGGCAGCCGGCGGACCATGTTCCCTCGCTTGATAGGGTCCATGTCTTGCTGGAGCACGCTGTCTGCCGTGGGGTCTAGCACCCAATCCTCGTCATCCAGGCGGCAAGAAGCTGTGAAGTTTACGTTGGGGAGAGTTTTGATGAGCGGCGCGTAGAGCCGTCGAAAGTGTACGACGTTGTTGTTGACAATATTGGCGACTTTGCTCTTGTTCTCTGTAGGTAATGCCATGCGAGGATCACCCATGTAACTCAGGCCGGCGATAGTACTGTACAGGTCGGTTTCAGTGAATTGAGGAGGTAAAAGAAGCAGGGCCGTGCGGACTGCAGCAATGAGGTTGTGCTGGTTGGCGAGCCGGACCTGAGGGTGGTCGCGGAGAATTTTGACGGGTTTTTGCAGCCGGCCTGCAAGGTACAGGTTGTCCCAAGTTGACAAGTCCTTAACCAAGTTGTCTATGCTGGTAACACCGTATTTGATCAACATGCCATTCACTTCAACATATGGATTAAAGTATACACCCGCGCCCCAGTTTTGGACCCTCGACACCAGACCGGACCCAAGAGAAGCAATTCCCGAGTAGTGGTCGCGGTGTTGTCGGATGTTTATCGAGTGCCAATGCTGTGTGTGGCTGACGCCAAATATGAAATCAATCATCTTGGGCGATCCCTTCTGCGCCTTGACTAATGCTTCCGGTGGCTTCGGATGGACGGCTCGAAACTCGGCCTCGGTGATGCTGCGGCTGATGTCGTCTTGGGGAAAAACACCAGATCCGTATGCAAAACAGTACACGATCGGCGCATTGAATTGCCGGAGCATTATGCGTAGCGCTTCTTTGAGTTCGTAATTAATGATCATGTGCTGGTTGACACCGAATAACCGGTGGGGAAGATCCTCAAAGGACTTGATTGCGAAGTCGACGGAATCTTCCCAATCATCGCCATAGAGGTTGAATTTACCCCCGGCAGACTCCTTTTTCTTAGGTAGACTGGAAGTGGTCGTGCTCGATTGCGTTGACGGCGTTGATTTTGCGCTGGCAGAGGCAGCGGATGAGCCGGTTGTTGAATTCGAATACCATCTTGGCTGCTCTAGCCTCATTCGCCGACTCGGACGTAGAGGAGCTCTGGAAAGGACTGCTTGTGAAGAAATAATTCGAGCAGAACGGAGTGTGATGGAGGGGGCTAATCGACTTGATGCCGCGGCGGCCTACACAGTCCAAGGTTAGCCAAAACCCACGACTGCTGGAGGGTGGTTCAAGGAGGTGGTTGTGTACCGTCAGGCCAAGCTCAATGACTACCATTGCCGTTACGCGTCCAAGGCTGCGAGGAAACAGGCTGCGAGAATTTACCAGTTTTCTCAATGATTATCACCGGATAGGTCAAAAGAGACTTCGCTGCAAAAAATAGCATCACCCAATAAAGACGCAGATCGAACCACAGTATGTCGGTAACTGTTCGAAAAGCTGCAGATTGCATGAGCCAGATACACGCAACGCTTAAAGTGGCGGATATGTGGATGATAGAGTAGCAAAAGACGGGCAGTAGGTCACTCGTCGATTGCGAAACGATGGGCAATTGCAAATTTCGATGAAGAGGTTCTGGCCCTTTGGCTGCGTCTCACAGGTCCAAGATGTTGGTGCGTCGAGGGAACCATGTTCAATCGTCTTGAGCCTTTCGGCTTTCGAGGAAATCTGGAGCCCCAGAACTTGTGCAATTCCCCGAGGGAGCTGCGTTGCTCTGTAGAGGGGGGTCCACCTTGGCTACTACGGAGTACTCCATGCTTTGAAGGGAATGCAAGGCAACTGGCCAATCAAAATAGATCCTGTTCGGATACCATGCCACTGCGATGCGCAAGTACAGTGAAATCATGTGCTGGCAAGATGAGTGCAATGCGGCGTCGCTTTCGCACCCGAGATGTACAAGTTGTTTGTCTTGTGAGTGCACGTTGCTGTTTTTCTTAGAGCAATATTTTAGCTCTGCAGTGCCTCTATCAACTCTATATGGACTAGTTCTTCCTATGGAGGATTTATCCTGGCGCTTGACGTGGATTGACCGAGGCTCAATAGCATGCTCAGGTTTTGTCCCGTCTTCGGGTGCGCATTGATCTGGAAGCAAGTCTGCTTCATACCACAACCCACCTAGGCGCCTTTCTCGGTAAGCATTCAAGTAAGAAGGATATTTGCGAGCTTGATAAAAGCATTAGCATGATGGACGTTACCTTGGGCTCCCCAGCCTGTTTATCGGAGGGCTTCTTTCCCCTGTTTGATCCCTACGGACGCACAGGAAACCTGACGGGTAGTAGTCCATGCGTATGAGCTTTCTCGTTGAATGTCCGTGATGGATAAGAGGCTTTGCAGCTGCAAGCAATACATAACACTATCACTATCTACTTAGTACTGAACAAGCTTCATATCTCCGCCCTGTCAAGATCTGACAGGACAAAACGATCACGTGACTACGAGAAGCTGTCGCGAGAGAGCTTTCGCGGAAGGCCCCACAGCAGCAGCATCTACGACATCAACAAAAAGTGCAAGCGCGTGGAATCAGCAATGCGAGGCCAGCCTCAGAACGAGGGGGAGCCCGCTGCATCCCGTGGTCAAAAAAGCACAATGTCGAGTAGACTGCGAGCAACTGCGCCGTCCGGCGCTCCAAGAGCGCAAGGTCGTTCAAGAGTGAGTTTCCACAGTTTTCCGACCGATCAGATTACCACTTTATTAGATGTTGCCCTTTGTTTTGATGAGACTCACACACAATATTCAGATAGCGTCATTCAGGGCTACCCAGCCCTCATATAATTTGATTACGGGCGCTGAATCCAATGCCCGACCATCTTCCAGACAAAGCCAGACTGCCGAATCTTTGCGCCCTGGGTCGCGGGATAGCTCCAAAGAAAACATGGCTCCTCCAGATGCTGACGAGTATGAAAAATATCGCAAAGAAATAGAAGCCCTCAAGGCAGAAATTGGAACTTTGCATTACCGTATGCAAACCGCAGACCAAGAAAAGGAAATTGCACTGTCTCAGCAGTCTAATAAGTTGGAACAAGCTCGACGACGCGAGCAGGAGGAGCTGCAGCAAAGGCAGATGGCTGAAGCAGACAAAGACAAAGCTGCTGGATTAGTAGAGTCTGTCAAGGCCGAGATGGACGAACTGCGAGAGCGATCGCAATCAGATTACAAAGCTCTGGAGCGGAAGGCCCGTGAAGCACAGGACGAAGCTCGGCTGCTACAGGAACAGCTGGATGACTTGTCAACAGCTAAGGACGATGAAGCGAGAATCGCTGATAGGAAGATGAATGATATGCAGATGCAGATAACCGCCCTCCAAACTTCTATTGAAGAGTTGGAACAGGAGAGTCAATCCAGAGAGGAGAATGTTCAGCAAGCTCACTCTGTTGTCGCGGAGAAGGACTCCCAGATTGCAAGGTTGGAGGCAGACGTTCTTCGACTGAAAGCGCAAAGTGGAGATGCAGAGACTATGGAAATTATCAAGAGGGAGCTATCCGAACAAGTCCAGCATATAAGGGCTCTGGAGGCTACCAACCGTGACCAATTGAGCGAGCTGAAGCACCTCAGGGCCGTAAGCAAGGCTGTAGAGGTTGTGGAAGAGGAGAAGAGGTCACTGCAGCGTAAGCTGGAGTCTGCAGAGTCCCTTGAGGCGGAGCTGGCAGAAGCCAGGCTACATCGACAACGGTTGGAAGACGAGCGCCTTGCTTGGGCATCGTACCTAAAGCATTCTTCAGAGGCAGGCGATGAATTTGAATCCCCCGAAGCAATGGCCAGAGCCTTGATGGAAGAACGCCTGACAGCAGCTTCTTATGTAGAACAAGTGGGAGCTATGCGAGCAGAAGTGAGTGCCCGTGAAAACTCAATTCAATTACT